CAAGATCTCAGCATTCAATTTGGCCTTCTGTGTGTCGGTGATAATTGAAAATATTTCTTTGAGATTCCTAGCAAATAGTTTCAACCATACTATTGAGATTATGAAGCTGTTTTTCACATCAGTTTTTGCTTGCTTGATGACATTGAAAAAGGAGACTTGACTCTCACTTATATTACTGTTATTCCCGTTGTTATTTGGGATCATCATTGCTAGCCAAGATGAATTGAGTTTCCATCTATTTTGGGTTTTATCATGTGTGTTTCATCCCCAGCAGCAAGAATTCCACGAATATCTTTCCATACATAGCTCTTATAGTGGGTGTGTTTCTAATTCTTACAACGCTCATTACAGGAGAAAACGTGATCAATATCACACTTGCCCTTGCTCGAGATGATATCAAGATCAGTTGGTATCTTTTATTTAACTTGACACTAGCATATATCGTGAATTTGACCAACTTTTTGGTCATACCAACATCTCACTTATATCCCCACTGAGTTTTGTTCTCAAGTGATCTTGTGATATCATACAAAAACTTTGAACACAAGGCAAAGAGCTTCAATAATTGAGAAATCTGAGCAGAGTCCACAGAAAAGGATGAATGTGTTGTCAAATGTTTTACATCCCACAGAAAAGGATGAATGTGTTGTCAAGTGTTTTACATCTAAGCTGAAACCACATGAGATGAAGAATATGTTATCAAATGTTTTACGAACCAGTTATTCTGATGTTGAACCAATGTTGTGATCATATGGTTTCCATTTTTGATCCAAGATGAAGTTTGTCTTCTTCAACTTCAAGATTATAAGATGAGATATGATGAAGATTTTTTTTTCCGCAGATGGAGAGCTGAAATTTTAACCACAAGGAACCAATTAAATATGGAGACATGAAATGAATTGAGATAAATCCTCCTTGTGATATGTTTCAAGAGTCGAATCAGAACAAACTCTACTCTCCTAATTAATCCCTGCTGAGTCAGGCATATCTACATCTACACTCTTCAAAGATGATAGATTCTCTTTTTAAAGATAACAGATTCTCTTTTCAAAGATGAAAACTTTATGGGATTTCTACACAAGTCCAAGCAAAGAAAGTTGGTTTTATCCAAGACAAAATGGGGTATCAAGGTCATAGTTCTGATTACGACAAGAGTTCCACAAACGAAACAATTCTTCTGAGACTTTCATAAAGCAAAGAAGACATAAAGATACAAGTTGATCAGATGGTTCTTCAGAAATTCAAGCTTGATAGCATAAGTTGCTACACTGATATCCAGAGGTGAACCTGGCAATAAATGATGAAGTGGAGGAAAATCGAGTTCACCACTTTGAAGTCAAATGAAGATTGCATCACCATTCATGCATCATATTTAGACATTTTCAAAATAGGAACATTTTTATTCATTTTATCCATGTTGAATATTTGACAGGAATTTTCAAAGATTTTAGCAAAGATTCAAATTCATCATTTGGTGGATCATCATTACCAGAGAAGGTTCATAATGAGAAGAACTCATCTGAAGAAGGAAGAAGAAGTTCATAATGAGAAGAATTTGTTCAACCTTTTACCTGAATCCATCATTTGGTGGATCATCTTTTCCAGAGAAAGTTCATAATGAGAAGAACTCATCTGAAGAAGGAAGAAGAAGTTCATAATGAGAAGAATTTGTTCAACCTTTTACCTGAATCCATCATTTGGTGGATCATCTTTTCCAGAGAAAGTTCATAATGAGAAGAACTCATCTGAAGAAGGAAGAAGAAGTTCATAATGAGAAGAATTTGTTCAACCTTTTACCTGAATCCATCATTTGGTGGATCATCTTTTCCAGAGAAGGTTCATAATGAGAAGAACTCATCTGAAGAAGGAAGAAGAAGTTCATAATGAGAAGAATTTGTTCAACCTTTTACCTGAATCCATCATTTGGTGGATCATCTTTTCCAGAGAAAGTTCATAATGAGAAGAACTCATCTGAAGAAGGAAGAAGAAGTTCATAATGAGAAGAATTTGTTCAACCTTTTACCTGAATCCATCATTTGGTGGATCATCTTTTCCAGAGAAAGTTCATAATGAGAAGAACTCATCTGAAGAAGGAAGAAGAAGTTCATAATGAGAAGAATTTGTTCAACCTTTTACCTGAATCCATCATTTGGTGGATCATCATTACCAGAGAAGGTTCATAATGAGAAGAACTCATCTGAAGAAGGAAGAAGAAGTTCATAATGAGAAGAATTTGTTCAACCTTTTACCTGAATCCATCATTTGGTGGATCATCTTTTCCAGAGAAAGTTCATAATGAGAAGAACTCATCTGAAGAAGGAAGAAGAAGTTCATAATGAGAAGAATTTGTTCAACCTTTTACCTGAATCCATCATTTGGTGGATCATTTTTTTTTCCAGAGAAAGTTCATAATGAGAAGAACTCATCTGAAGAAGGAAGAAGAAGTTCATAATGAGAAGAACTTGTTCAACTTTTTGTTTAAATTCATCATTTGATGGATCAACATGGCCAAAGAAAGTTCATGAATGAGAAGAACTCATCTGAAGAAGGAAGAAGAAGTTCATAATGAGAAGAGCTTGTTCAACCTTTGTTTGATATCATCTGAAGAAAGAAGAGAAAGTTCATAATGAGAAGAACTCATCAAGAGTTTATTCAACCTTTTGAATGACTCTATCACAGAAAGGAGGTCATCATCATCCCCAGCAGAGAGTTCATAATAAGAAGAACTTATTTGGAGAGAGAGAAGAATTTACTCAATATCTCCATTATAATCAAAGTAAAGTCAAATGGATAAAAAATTTTATTATCTTTTCATCTTTGCCCTATTCTTGTTAACACAAGAATGAGCAAAGAGGGGCAGCTGAAGATACTATTTTTTATCCATTTTATTATTATTATTATTATTATTAGTATTTATTATTATTATTAATATTATATATTATTATTATTATTATTATTTAATAAATAATTACAACTGGACCGGCCCAGTTACAAGCCAACTAGAACCGGTCCAGCCAACCAGAAACCCTAAAAGGTTTCAGCTAGGGTTTCTAAACCCTAGCCACACGCCAGCCGCCTCTGATGCTTCCAGATCCCAGCCGCCGCCTCACTGCCAAGTGGTCCAATGGTCCACTGCCGACGCCTCCGCCGCTGCCACGTTCCGAATGAAGGCTCCAGAAGATCAACGACGGCCGTCCACGCCAAGGCTACGGGGTGAGTCACCACTGGTAGTCCGGTGACTCACCAAAGCCCTCTCTTCGGACCGGTCCGATGACCGCACCGGTGGTGGCTATAAAAGCCACCACCCACCTGCAAGACAAAAAGAGGGACAGAGACCGCAAGAAGAGAAAGAAACAGAAAGAAAAATACAGAGAAAAAAAAAATAATAACAACAACAACTACCAACGATCCCAGTCCACAACAGCAGAGCAAAAATAGAAAGAAAAGAGAAGAGAAGCTTACCAAGGAAGCTTTGACCACCACCGGAATCACTGAACATCGTCGGAAAATCAAAAATACCGAAGGTATATTTACAGATCTGCTCCGATTGGGAGCCATTTAAGGAAAAAGAACATCGGAACCGTCCTTAGGACGGTCCGATCTATCTACTAGTATAAGAATAATTTTTTTTCGGCCACCGGATGCGGTGGCCGGCGGTGACATTCACGGCGGCACACGGTGGCCGACCGATGACCGGCTTCCCTCCGGTGAGGGAAGCTAGAGAGAAGGCAGAGAGTTTGAAACTCTCTCGGTTTAGAGAGAGAGAAGGAAATGAGGAATGAAATGGTTGGCCCTTCGGGCCAGCCGATATTGGACATTTATAGTCCTTCCCGAACGACGTCGTTTCGGGAAGGACTATGCGCGTAATTACAAAATAGTTAAATCCCTTCCGCAGTCCTTAGTACTTGTAAACTTTACATTTTAGTCACTAAATTGAATTTTTAATATTTTTTAGTTCAGTCTTCGAATTTTAAATTTATTCATTTTAGTCCTTTTTATTAAAATAATATATTTAGGATAAATAACAGATTTAATCCTTTAATTTTAATAAATAAAGTTTTCATCCCTAGTTCATATTTTTTAATTAATTTTATTTTTAAATTTGATTTTTAAATAAATTCATTTTAGTCACTAAGTTATTAAAATTAGAAAATAAAATATTTAATCCCTATAATTTCAATTAATTAGGAATTAGATTTAATTTTATTCATAATTTAATTATTTTATATGTTTTCATTTTATTGTTTAAAATATATTATTTTAGTGATATTTTTATTTTATTATACCGTTAAATATTTTTATATATACATATAATAAATATTTTTGATATCGAAGAAAAGGACAGTCTTAATACAACTGGATGTCCTATTCTGATATTTTATAATTAAAAATTAAATAATATTATTTAAAAACTAATATTTATCAATATCAAAGAAAAGAGCTGTCTTAAGGCACCTAGAAGTTCTTTTCGGATATTTTTAAATAAATAAATATTTTTTTTTTACAATTTTAAAATTATAAGATTATAAATTAAATATATTTTTGATTTTTTAAATTTTTAATAATAGAGACAATTTATAATTAAAAAGTACCAATTTTGGGCGTTGTAGGGGTGCTAATCCTTCCCTAAACGTAACCGACCACGAATCCCTGTTTATTATTAAAAAGAACGAATTTTTGGTTATAAAACGCAGATCAGTTCATCTTTTAAATATGGTTTTCTTAAAAACTATTTTAAAAGAAAATTTTTAGGTATTCGACCTACCTGATTCAAAAGGTCGATGGCGACTCACCAATTATTTTCAAAATTATTTATTAACATCAATTTCCCCTCCAAATTATAATATTTCGTGCCCGGACGAAAACCGGTTACGACACTTACAATGTCGATCTGAAATTCGCATGCCAAACTGGAATGCTTAAATTCATTGACAGCAACAAGCCATATAAAAGCTAGTGAAAAGGAAAACAAGAAAACAACAGGTAAAGAGAGCTCTAACCTGAATTTGCATCAAGAGGTTGTTGACAGTGGCACCTCCATCCACCCTAAGCAAGAACTCTCCCTTTTCAGTCGTAACCTCACCCTTCTCCCCTGCATCTTTGTGCATTGAATCCAATACATCTTTCACTTGAAAACACATGCTTTCGAGCACCGCACGAGCAATGTGAGACTTGCTTGTAAACCTAGTGATTCCGATGCAAACTCCACGGGCATCATCTCGCCACCATGGAGCAAACAATCCATTAAAAGCAGGAACAAAGTAAACCCCACCTGTGGAATCGACTTCCGATGCCAAAGTTTCAATCTCACTTGCAGTGGAAATTATTCCAAGACTGTCTCTTAGCCACTGAACTGCAGCTCCAGCAATAGCAATAGATCCCTCTAAAGCATAGTTGGTCGGTGCTTTTGGACCAAGCTTGAATGCAAGCGTGGTTAGTAGCCCATGATTTGACTTAACAGGCTCAGTACCTGTGTTGAGCATGATGAAGGCACCAGTTCCATAAGTGCTTTTGGCCTCACCCTTTAGGCAAGCTTGACCAACCATTGCAGCATGCTGATCACCAAGACATCCTGCAATAGGAACATCAAAAGCAGGCCACCCTTTGCTGATTTTACCGATGAACTCGGCATTACTTACGATTTTCGGAAGAATTTCAGCTGGAATTCTGAGAGTTTTCAATGTGGTTTTATCCCAATCAAGGGTTTTGAGGTTCATGAGCATAGTACGTGATGCATTAGAGACATCGGTGACATGTAATCCGCCATTTACACCGCCTGTTAAGTTCCAGATTAACCATGTGTCTATAGTTCCAAACAAGGCATCCCCTTTTTCAATAGCAGCTTTAACCTCTTCCTTGTTCTCCATCAACCATAGCAGCTTCACTGCACTAAAATAAGTGCTTAAAGGCAAACCACATGATTCCACAAAATGTGTTCTCCCTCCTGGTAGTTCTTTCTCCAATTTCCTAATATGAAGATCAACTCAAACATCAATTACATACAACTCAAACTAGGCTATTGATAGCAAACTAAAGGAATTCATGATTACAGGAACCCAGGGAATATAAATCAAACCAATTCCAAGTATGAAAAACATTTCTCGCTTATGATTGAAACCTATCAATAATCCAAAACTTTAACAACCAATTCAAAAAAAAAACAAAAACAAAAAACTGAGCAACATCAAAGATAAGGAAGGAAATCGAGATGAAAATAGAACCAGTAAGCTTTCTTATCCCCAAAACAAGAAAACAGCCAACAAAGAGAAAAAAACTAACGAAGGAGATTGATATAAGAAAAGGATTACCTGCAAATGGAGCTGGTACGAACATCCATCCAAACGATGGCGTTATGGAGAGGACAACCAGTAGATTTGCTCCAAACAACAGTGGTTTCTCTTTGGTTGGTCAATCCAATGGCTTTGAGTCCACTGTCAACATTGTGTCCATCAGCAGTAGCCTTGTCCAGTGCCTTTCTGATGCACGATCTCACGCTCTCCAATATCTCCATTGGATCATGCTCCACCCATCTAACACCCCCCACGAAATTCCAGAAAAAAAAAACAAAAGAAAAGAAACGCCAATAAACACATCAACAAATTCAAATCTTCAAGCGATATCAACCATGCCCAAAATGAAAAAAAATCGATTTGGAAGTAAGTATTGAAAGGAGTACCCGGCTTCAGGATAGAACTGAGTGAACTCGATCTGGTGGGAACCGATGATTCGAGCAGAATTGTCATAGATTAAGAACCGGGTGCTGGTGGTGCCTTGGTCGATGGAGGCGATGTAAATTTCTCCCGGCATTTTTGTTCTTCTCGGTTGTCGGTCAACTTGGATGCAGAGATGGGTGGCTTTTATATATATTGGAATGGTCGTAGGTGATTATTATTTAATTTTCTAGGAAATTATTTCCTTATTTTCTCGGGAATGTGGCCGAAAGTTTATCCAAACATCTTTCAAATCCAAGAAGAAAGGAAATCATGTCATCTATAATTGTGGATAACCTCAAAGCGATTATGGCAGTGAAATTGAATACTAATTTCATAATCAGATTTGCAAAATGTTTCCTTTTATATTTGATTTTGGGTTTAACGGATTCTTCTTTTTGTTTTTATTTATCACAATGAATATACTAGAAATGAGTAATTCAAAGCACGAAGAGATGACACCTGTCGTCGACTTTAATTAGAAGGTAGTGTACACTACACGGTCCTCCCGTTTGGGATCAGAGAGGCCACGTGCGTGCCCTCTTCTTCAACTTGCATTTGAGTGTAGATCATTAAATTATTAACAAAGGTGGATGGTAATCTTTTAAGAAAATTAGATGAGGTCGTTAGAATGTTTACGAGTGAATTGAAATCTGTGAAAGAATTGGAATCTGTCAGGAATTAGAATCCAATTCTATATTCTGTTTGGTTCGCAGACATGTCAAATGAATTTGATTTCAGTAATGTAAAATGACAAAATTACCCTTCTTATTTTTTTTACTTTATTTTAGTTTGTTTTACAATTTACATATAGTAATATATTATAAAAAAAATTAAAAAATATTAAATTTTCATTTTATTGATTAATTATTCATTTTAATTAATTATAAAAATCATACTAATAAATATCATAAGTTAAAATCATCGCAATCAAAATATGTTAATAAGTTACCAAAAGATAGAGTAATATTTCGCTACATTCCAATCGGAGTATGTTAATTAGTTACCAAAAAATATAACAAAAACTATTTTTATTCAATATATGAATTAGAAACCCGACCCGACACGACACAAAATAATAAAAAATTATTTTTATTCAATAAAAACATTGACTTAATTGAAAAAATTATATATAGAGGGGTATTATTGTAATTATTCCTAAATATATAAGGTAAAATTATATATTTTTTTCGGGTCGGACCGATTTTTTTACCCTAAACCCGAACCCGACCCGACCCGAATATCACACTTAAAAAACCCGACCCGACCCGAATATATGAATTAGAAATCAGACCTGACTCGACCCGAAATAATAAAAAATTATTTTTATTCAATAAAAACAATGACTTAATTGGAAAAATATATATAGAGATGTGTATTATTATAATTATTCCTAAATATATAAGGTAAAATTATATATATTTTCGGGTCGAGTATTTTTCACCCTAAACCCGAACTCGACCCGAACCGAATATCACACTTAAAAAAACCGACCCGACCAAAATAAAGTTTCACCCGACCCGACCCGAATATATGAATTAGAAACCCGACCCGACCCGAAATAATAATAAAATATTTTTATTCAATATATAAATAAGTTACCAAAATATTGATGAAGGTAGTATGGTCAAATTTCAATTCCCTCCAACAAGGGAATTGAATTTCATCCATTCTTGGATGAAATTCACTTTCCCTCATTTGATAGAAAGTTGAAGCCATGGCAGATTCCAATTCCCTTGGAAAACTTGAACCAAACATGGGAAAGTGGTGTAATTGGATTCTAATTCCCCCCAATTCCAAGGGATTCCATCCAACCAAACGCCACCTTAATGTATTTTTTTATTTAATGCAACCGTTTGAAATATTTTTTTTAAAATTCAAAAGTATCCATACTTCTAGGTTCATGTGGATAGGGGAGTTCATCAATTTTTTCAAAAATCTCGATACTTTTGATATCAATTATTGATATTTTAAAAATTCATCAACTTTTTTAAATACTAAAGTCTTGATAACAGTCATCAAATCTAAAATTCTAAAGTATCGATATCCTCAATATCGGGTATTAATAATTTTCCTGAATAGGTATAAATACATATACATTAAACCGCTACCAATTTCATCATAATATGATATTTATTTTAAAAACAAATTCCACCCAAAGATAAGTAATATATTAAATTGCTACCGATTTCATTAAACACAATTTTAATATTAGGTGCAACCTAATATGTTGATAATCTTTAAGTAATTATTTACCTATTTTTTTATTGTCGGATTTCTAAGGCTCCATATGCTTAAACTTTGGTAAAATATTAGGCGCTACCTAATATGTTGATAATCTTTAAGTAATCAACATATTTTGTTATCGTCGGATTTCCAAGACCCTATCAGCTTAAAGTGGTAACATATTAGGCGTTACCTAATATGTTGATATTATTAATAATTTCCAAGGCCTCGTCAACTTAAACTTTGGTAACATATTAAACCCTACCTAATATGTTGATAATATTATCAAAAAAATAAATAATTTCCCTATTTTTTTATCGTCAGATTTCTAAAACTCAATCAGCTTAAACTTTAGTAACACTTTAGGCGCTACTTAATATGTTGATAGTATTATCAACAAAATAAGTAATTTACCTATTTTGTAATTGTCGGATTTCTAAGACTCCATCAACTTAAACTTTGGTAACATTTTAGGCTCTACCTAGTATGTTGATATTATTAATAACATAATAAGTAATTTACCTATTTTGTTATCGTTGGATTTTCTGATTGCATTTTTAACTGATCATCTATTTAACCGATCATATCGTTTTTCAACTATATTTTATCTGCCTCACAACAGAAGTTCCCTATTAAAATTTTTAATTTCCTAAGATAAAAAAAAGTTGTTAAATTTTAATAATTACAAGTGTTTTTTGATATATCGATTTCGAGCCTCATAAATGTTATAATTATGAACGTTTAATGTTAAATGATTGAGAATTATTTTAAACAAATATTATCTTATATTTATTATAAATTAATAAAAAATATTATTAGGCTCGAATGATTTCAGCAACCACCTAAAATTTTCAGCCTTGGATTTGGTGTAGCTGTTAACCAGCTTTTATTTATTCCTAATGAAATGTCTTTTTCACAGTTATAACTAATAAGGATCCTTTGTATGATTTTATTGTTTGGTCTTTGGTCGTTTGCCAACTTAACATTAAAATGGTACCTAATGATGTCCAGCTCAGTTGGTAGAGCATAAGGCTCTTAACCTTGGGGTCGTGGGATCGAGTCCCACGGTGGGCAATTCATAATTCGGAGGTCTCCTACGGAAGCTGCTCTCAATCTGATGTTGGGGGCAACCTATTATCATACCTCCCCCTTATCACATTACATATGGGAATAAGGGTCGGCTAATTTTATTTGATTTTTAATACGATATATTAAGTAAACTTATTGAGTGACATTAATGATTAAAAGAATAATATTTTTATTTGAGGTTTTGAGTTTGAACAGTTACGTCTGCAGGGTGTATGTTCATTGTCAATGACTAAAAATATTATGAACAAATAATACATTATAATCATCCCAAATTATTTAATAAATATATTAAATGAAACAATAAAAATAAATTAATATTATATGGTCGTTCGGACAGACAATTTACCTATAGATAAATACATAGAGGAAGTATTTTTTTTAATTAATTATTGACATCTAATTTATTGATCGATTAATTCAGATCGAATTTTTCAAAAATTCATAATAAAAATGACATTCTCAACGCAGTTTTGCACTATTAGCAAACATAGAAGAAACATTTTTAATACACATTTGAAACTGAAAGAAAGACTTCGACCCTCCAAATTACATGTGCAAGAGACCTATTTCCCAAGTCCAATGGAGAAGGCTAGGCCCCCAAAGTTGTTAAAATTATTGTAATTCTTTGTTTTTTGATAAATAAAAATCACAATTTAATCAATACTTTCAATATTTTTATGTTCTTTTTAAATGTTCCACCCACATTATAACCATTTGGTCCTTATGATATTTATAAATAATTATTTTCTTATATTTGAAATAAGCTCATCAAGTCCTTGGACAATGGAAATAAGTACCCAATATGTTAATATTACTATATAATATCAAAATAAATGTATATAATGTCACATGAATACTTATTTTTTATATTCTTATATAACATATAACATCTTAAAATAATTATATATATATGTTCTCAAAAGATGGCTAACTTCATATTTGATTTTGTTTCTTTGTCTATTTATGACATTTTTAGCTTAAATGAAAGATAAAAACTGAGCTTATAAAAGCCATTCATGAAAAGGAAAGACAATGCCTAGAGAAGTTGAATATATCTATGGTAGGAAAAACTAATAAAGGACACAAACAAATCCTTTTTGAATCAAGTGATTGGGTTTGAGTTCACATCTGGAAAGAACAATTTTCAACTCGATAAAAAGGATTTAGTTGGATCTCGAGGAGATGGACCTTTCCAAGTGTTACAATGTATCAATGAAAACACATATTGCATAGATTTACCAAGTGAGTATAGTGAAAGTTCTATATTTAATATGACTAATCTTTCTCCCTTTGGTGTTTCATATGGAGGTTAAATCCTTTTGAAGATGAGAATGATGCGAGTATCAAGGCTCATATTCAAGATCATAGATGTGATAGACTAACCTTTCCACAAGGCCCCATAACGAGGAATAATTTGTATGTCTTAATTCTATGTTGATTAGATGATGGAGATTAAAGATCATAGTGGTTTGTGGTTTTACGAATTTCAAATATAGGATTGAGTTTAAAGTGATTTAAGTCAAATCTAAATTGATAGAGTGGTAGAAGATAATGAGATGAATTCAATAATATATTGAATGATTAGAGAAGATGGTAGAGAATGATAATTGTAACATCGATGTGACATATGAAAAAAACTATAAAACTATTATCTTCAAATGAAGAAGATAACATAAAAAAATGGCATAGATGGCATATGGATTTTATATCATTAAAAAAGCTAACAATATCAACACATGTATTTGTCATATCACCTTTTCATTTATGATTTAACACCTCAATGATTAAAATGGGAGCAAATCAAAAGTTTAATGAGTAAAATGAATCTTTTTTAAATTTTAGTGACCAAAATAAGAGTGGGAAGAAAATTGAATGAACAAACTTGTAATTTACTCTTATTCTATATTGTTTAAAGGTAAAATTACACGGTTAAATCATTCCCTAATTTTACAAAAGTCATATACTTTGAATTGGAAAATAAATTATTAATATGATATTATAAGAAATATTATTCTATTAACCCATATCCATTCCCTCTTTTACTAGTAATGCAATTATTTAAAGCTTATTAACTTTGTTTTCCTTGTGATGGAAGTTAAAGACATTTTCTTTCACATTTATGTTCGAATTTATTTCACGGAAAATGACGTACGAAAAATAATTTGATCGACGGAAAATAACTTAATGATGAATAGAAAACAAGACCTTTTTCAATGCCAAGGCCAAGGTTAACCAGCATTTATATTTGAATTAAAAGCAATGCTAATTGTGAAGGAAGTGAGATGGTATACAGAGCAACTGCTCTACATGGAAAAAGCAAGTTATGGAACACCAAAAAGAAGTTAGATTGGTGGTTTAGCAAATCCAATTGCTCAAAGTTAACCAAAAATTTTAAGCCACAATCCCTTTCGACTAGAAATTTTGCCAACACTAATGAGTCATTTTCAGCTCAGAAAGTAATCTTTTGCTATTATATCACCATATATATATATATATATATATATATATATATATGGAGAAGATCCATTTATATTGTGTGAAACTCATTACTTTTATACGAAAATATAATCATCGGATGACTCTAAATAGGTGTCTGAGATTAAAACTTCGTGCATTAGTATTATCCTCTCTTTTGTAGCCATCCATTTAGATTCATCCGATGGTTATTTATATAGACACAAAAAATAATCAACACTATGTGCTTTACACTCCATTGGCATCCTATTCTTTTTTTTTCTTTGAGACCTTTTCATGATGATGCTTGCATAACTAAGCAAAAAACAAGTGTCTACATTTCATGCAAATGCACAATTTCCACCTTAAAAAAAAGCATCCCCTTAATGGCCCCGCTACTCACCTTTATCTTCATTTTTCACCTCTTAATGGAGGCAAAAGCCATTACTCTAAATTCACACATTACCAATAAACCAGACAATTTGAATGCACAAATCTTCACAAGGTTCAAAAGGTTTTGATAATGGTTACAGCAAACATAGAAAGAAATTATTCATCCAAGAGGGTAAACTATAGATGATAATGATTATAGCAAACATAGAAAGAAAGTGTTCATCCAAGAGGGTAAACTATAGATGCACCCGACCTATGTTAGCCCGCCACTCGTCCCGGTACATATCCCTATACAGATATCTGAATAAGGGTCAGACATGTTGGACACGATACTCCAACAAAAATAAACATATGTGCTACCTTTCCCCATCAGCTCAAAACAAAGTAGGACACCTACGCTCAGATTTATTGAATTGTTCACAAAAGTGAACTAGGAGTCTCTTTAATTTGTGAAAGATTACAACAAATAAGTTTTTTTTATACATGAAAAGGCTATAACTTACAGATATTTCACACATGATAACAAAACCGAAAAAAGCAACAAGTCTTGGCAACTCAAAGGAAACATGATATATATTATTTAGAGCAGTCACAGGAAACCAAGAGAGCAAACCCTTTTCTCCTTTAAAATTGGACGACTCACCGTAAACACAAAACAGCATCCGAAAAAACAGCATATGAAATGTAACACGCATGAAGAGAAGATGCTATAGCTTATCAACAATGAACCGGATGCTTACTTCAGATATATTTTTAACCAGGCTGAATGACTTTAATTATTTTTTTTGCAGTATACCATTTTTAGCTCAACGGTTGGTGCTGGTCCTTTCCTTCATGATAGAAGCTTAACGTTTGGCTTGCCTTGAATGTCAAGCTCTGAATTGCCATATAAACCAAACCAACAAAAATGTAGAAAATGGTTATGGTAGATCACAAATATGACCATGAACTAGCAGAAAACAAACAGAATAGCAAGATTGCATATCTATATTGCTTAAAACATAAGGAAATTAACGTGTTTAAGTGAACACACATTTCATTGTTGCACTTTAAATATAGCAAGATTAACATGGAAGATTCATTTGTTCTTTCTAAAGCTCAACAGCTATTTTTGATGATAAATAGACATCTCAAGCTACAGCTTCTAGGGAGAATCGAATAGCACATCAAAGTTATTTCAGAAAAAGAATACTAATAAAAAAATATTTCAACATATCTTCTTAAATTTATCTGTCTTAAGCTTTCCCCCTGCAGTAAGGTTCAGTTTTTCATTATAGAGTTTTGGCAGCTCAGAAGCTTTTTCTTCTTCATAACAATAGACAAATGTCTTAAAGAACAACTCATCCGGAATATCAAACATCCTCAACAACAATGCTTTTTCAAACAAGCCCTTTGACACAAGGTCTTTAACAAACAAACCCCTTGGAACAATTCTCTTCTCCATGCTCAATCCTAGCAAATTCGGTTGTTTAGCAACAAGTGAAGCCTGTAACCCCATTACATTTACAAGGAAATCCATCACTGCTTTAATTTTATCCTCAGAAGTAGCCATTACCGAGGGATTTCTCCTGAAAGCTTCTAAAATCTCTTTCTCAGACCAACCGCACTTTTTATAAACATCAAACTCTCTCTCCCAAGTGGATTTGCTCATCGAACCTAATACACAGACAGCTAAAACAAAATTAAACCTCTCAGGATAGAACCCCATTTTCTTTACTTTCTCTACATATTCTTTGAACAAAACCGGAGCAACACAGAGTGGAAAAGGAATCCAACGAAACCCTTTAGTTATGTTAAGTTCAGGCACTCCATTTTGCCTCAAAACATTGCAATTAGGCAAGATGTAAGAATCAACATCATATTTAAGAAAACGGGGCCGTGCAATTACAAAATCAAGGGCGTCATTATCCGATTTAAACAGATTGCGAAGGAAGTTAAATGAAGGGACAATTTTCTTCTCTAAGCTAATTTAAAAAATATATGGGTATTTAGATAAGAATCTGATAAGAACAGAGCTTGAGATGCCTCTTGACTTCAAAAACTTAATTTTTGGCAAAAGGGTTTTCTCAACATTAGAGGAAAGCAAACATGGCATCTTCCCGATAATGGTTGCAATTTAGGGGTTTCGAGAATTCACGGTCCTTTAAGAAGAAGAAGACAGAGTCGGGTTGATTTGGGGTTTCAAAGTTGACATGTTTGGAGGCTGATAAAGCAGATTCTGGGGACAAGTTTTCATGAGGTAAGGGACTGTAAATGATTGTTGATTTGAAGAGGTTGAGAATGAAAGTGATGGGTTGTTTTCAATAATGTATAAAAGATTTGTGGCATTTGAAAGCTTTGATCTTGATGAGTATCCTCCCATGGAGGATTGTTTTAGTGAGAAAACTCAACACGGGAAACTGAAAATTATGGTGAGAATAGTGAATGAGAAGATGGAGTCACGTCACCTGCTCTGGAGAGAAACTTTGTGCTATACCAAAGAGAAACACGTGATATGAATTCCAACTGAAGAAATCAACCTAGCTTCATTTATCTGATCAACGGCCGCCGGAAGTTCAAGCAAATACCTAGGCATTTGAAACATGATGGAAAACGTACTAACCTATCCCCAGGGTAAGTCGAATCCCCGCTGCCTCCTTGAAACAGAGATGTCCTAAACCGCTAGACGACGGGGGCATATTTGCCCGGTTCCTCAAGTTCAAATAAAACAAAGTATTTAGTCACCGCAATTCATTTTGATCATTAAGTTATTTTTTCTTTAAAGTTGAGATTAAAATACTTAATTCTAACTTAAAAAATTAATTTATGAGTTATTTAAATTTTATCTTACACATCAAATTTTATTTTAAATTCTTTAAATTATATTAAATTTATAAAATTACGAATCAAATATTAAAAAAAATCGATTTTTGAAGTTAAGTCAATTTTACTCGGCCCTGCCACATCCCCACGTGTTTCGCCATCTGTGCAACAATCAAGATCTAGAAAGAATCCTTCAAAAAAAAGGAAAGAAAAAGAATCACCTCGCTTTTCATATTGAATTGTCACATACTGTTTTGCCGATCGAGAGATTAAAGATTTCCTCCGGTTCGCCTCTCCGGAGACTTCAAGAGGAAGAAACGGAGATTGATGATCCAATACATGTGATTGGACAGAGTAACACGGTGGATTCAACACAAAATCTGTCTAAAAGCAGAGAGAATAATAATCCAAGACAGACCTGAGAGAAAATCGACCGTGATTACTCTGTCCAACCAAAGGAACTGGATCCGAACACAAAATCCTTCCATGAAGCAATTCTTTTGATCTGAAGAAGCCAAGCCAAGAGGAGATATCTGGTTTGGTGTTTAAAACGGGCTTTTTTCAATCTTGCCTTGCTCCTTACTAGAAAAAGGTATTTTTGCTTCATATTTTAATTATATTTTTCAGGGCATATTCGTTTTCAATGGTTAAAATATACTTCAAATCCCTATAGTTTTGTACGATTGATATTTAATCCCTGAAATTAAAGAGAACACAAATTTGGAATGTATTTCAATAATTTAAAAACCCCATAAACTGTCTAAATCTAACTAAGTCCAGAATTTGTTCACAATCTATTCATAGTATAAGAACTAATGGCATAATTTAACCCAATAAACTGTCTCGAGTTTTGACATTAATGCTAGGCAAGAATCTTAAGGAGAAACTGAAGCTGAAAAGAAATAGAAGAAAGCTATAATAAAACTGTAAACACTTGATGCAAAGAAGCAAATAACAATCTTCTACTAAAATGTATTTCCTTGAGAAAAGATTACAAACTCACTGCAAATCTAAGACCCAACAAATTTTCCTCAAATACATTATCAAATTGGCCGAGTAATCGAATCGGTTCGCAACTTCGGTCCTTGGTTACCCTTTCTTTAGCATCCATTGGAAGGTCGGAATACTGTATAGCCATTGACGTCACATGTCGGACTAAAATACTCTTGGCTGTAGTATGGGTAACTATCACCATATGCATTCCTCATCCCGAGTGAAGATAGATCGGAAAAGGCGGTTGGCCACTGGGTTGGGACCAATCCACCAATTTGTCCATTGGCATAAGGTAGGGGGCTGGCATGCAGAATAAAATCCCTCGGTGTATCAAAATGGTTGCCCGAGGAACCGCTGTAACCTTGTTGGAACCCATCGTCGTGGAAACTCCATGCTCGGTCAAACCTGCATTCACCACTCGAGGGTCCCATCTCACCTGACATGCCCAAATTGGATGGAAAAGAAAACTGCTGGTTTAATAAATGTGAGCGATAACCAAGAGAATGGAACCCTGATCCCGCCCTAACTGCTCCCCCAACATTGTGTTCCTCATCAAGCAAGTCGTTGATGATATCAAGATGTGGAAACTCATCTCCCAATACACCTTGAGTATGATGTTGGGATGTAGATGCTGGAAGCTCAGCAAAGATGCGCTCTCGGGTTACATTATGCTCGGAATTGTACAAGTCAAGATTTTGGATCTCACTAAGCAATGAAGGATTACTTCTACCACCATCCCTTCGATAACTCTCCAACCATTGGGGTGCATTTGGCAAAGTATCCTTAGTTGCCATGCCAAACGGAGAGCATGACTGGGCAGAATTCGGCTCCACCCGGTCAGAACTTTTGGGTATATAAACCGATGCAGATACCAAGGCAGCTGGTTGCAAGTATGCTGGTAGTGGGTTGACTACTGAGCTAGGGGAGTTGGGATGAGTGAAACCAGATGAACTAGAAGCAACATGGTTACCCATTATGGCATTTCTGTAAGATTGAGGCACATACCTAGTAGCAGGTGACGGGTCAGGACCTAAACGACCAGCTGCACTAACTGAACGAGCAAGAAAAGGGGTTGTTTGAACCATAGAAACAACAAGACCTGTTGGCCTAGGACGAGGAATTAGAGGAGCACTTGACGGCCTCGACACCACAGGCACTTGTGTGGTCATAGGTTTATCAGCCGGTTTTGGAGCTGCAGCCTTCTGAAACTCAGATTTTGATATACCAGCCATTTGGAATGATGTATTTGATGATGAAGGATGATCACGCTGTTGCAAGGTGTTCAGCATTGCCTTGCTAACTGGAATAGAATCCAAACTGCTGGCACTCCTGTACTCTGACCTAAACTGAGCAGAAGGTGGCAGATTTATCGGAAGGCCTCTCGGAGAGGATGGTATAGCAGCTATCTTCTCTTTTGGTTTTTCTAAATCAACTTCTTCCTATTACATTGAAAAGATAAATGATAATCATATATAACTGTAACAGTATCCCCAAGAGAACATTAAGAACTAAGAGATCAAATAGAAATATATCACCTTTGTAACAGAGTCCTCCTCAGTCCACTTTGTCTGATTCAACAAGGAGGAAGCAGCAGCCTCGGACTCAGATTCACCAGCCTTACTATTTTCAGAAACATCATTATGGTCCCTTGCATCAGGTGTAGGACAAGAAGTCTGACTATTAGTTTCCGCACTCCAACTACTGCCATCACTTGATATTTTGCTTTGGTGGTTCTTTCCTCTACAAATTTGAAAAGCCAGATTAGATAACTACCTTTTCTTCGCATCCAGGCACATGGAAAGAAACCTAAAAAACACTTTACCTGCTTGGTGATTTTTTATTTTGGTTGCTTGAAAATGAGTTCCATTTATAGTGCCCATTCATTATCACCGATGGTACTGAATCTGTTGAACATGTTGATGAACTATCATCCATTATAAATATGCTCCTGTTATCAGCTACTCCATTCGATACACATGATAGTACGGTTATGCCACTGCTACTGGCTTCTGTGGGAGGATGAGCTTCCGATGTATCAGTATCCCAGTTAACAGGACTAGCATCTCTGTCTTCTGAATCGGGCTGAAGAACTTCAGTAGCACCATCAACCAAGTCAGAAACATCACCCGGTACATCGGACTTTTCAGGCACTGGCTGCACCTCCGCAATTATAGAGGTTTCCTTATCATCATCTGGGTGGTTTCCTGGTTGCTTCTCCTTTTCTGCCACAATAGCCTTCTCCCTCCTTTTATCTTTTCCTTTACGATTGTTCCGTTTTTGCTTAGCCTACATAAACAGAAGAAATGTGTTGCATCAGAAGAAAAAGTGTGCTATCTACACTTAGTTCTTTCAAAATGGAACTAAAACAAATACACTTCAAATTGCTTCCGAAACTAAATTAGGGGATCTTTATGACAATCACCAGAAAATAAATTTGGGAAAATGTAAAGTTTATTTTATTTTCTTGCACTAAGGTGGTCCAAATCAAGTATGCATTCCAATATTTGCAAAGAGCCCACCATGGCCAAAGAAAAAATAAAGGATTTATACCTGCTTTTTCTTTGCCTTTTTCTCCTTTTCAGATGCTACTCGTTTGGTCTTCTGCTCACTTTCAGCTAGCCATGCAGCTTCTTCACGAATGAGTTCTTCTTGCCTTTGCAGAGCAACAGCTTCCTGGTAGGCAACTTCTATTTTGTTGCTGAATGTAAGCAAAGAATTAGTGAATAAATAAGGGTATAGATAAGTAAATATCATTAAAATCCTACTAAGATTGCAGCATAGACGTTTGGGATACAACTGAAATTAAGAATCTATCTCTCCAATATGCTGACCAAAAAGGTATATCTAAAGGAATCCAAAGCCATGATTAACTGCATCACCACCTGAATGTCCACAAAAATCCACCAGAAAATAAGATAATACGCCATGTGTTAGAGAAAACTTAAGTTTACAAAGACATTGACCTTTCACACAGGAGAATACATTGCATCTTGAGCATTCACAACTCCGGATAAGTGGATATAGGTATGCCTAGTGCAACAAAAAGCACAATCACAAGTCCCTTTTTTTCTGAAGTAAACTAATTTTGTAACAGGATCTGCAAGCTAAACTAAATTGTGAAGGGAGAGCAAATGAAGTCAGCAAAAGGAAAATTCTAATGACAAGTTCTGTAACAGCTCAAAATTAAAACAATGTATTATGCCATCAAAAAGTCAACTTATATTATTGAAAAATCAGTTAAAATTTGCATTTTTAGAAACAGAAGAAAATGTTTAGTAAAAAACAGGAGCCAACAAACCATTTAAGTTATATAGCAGCTCTTATCAAATATATACCCTCCATTTGTTAACGTGTCATCCCAGACCAAACAAGAAATACTAAACTGTACATGAATCATCTGTTTATAGAAGCATATAACTTATATGGTCGATCTTAGTTATAAGCATACATAACAGATTTCCACAAGAAATAGAAAATATCAGCAATCTATTATTTGTTAAAATGTATCAAACCTGAATATATGAGAAAGAACAAAAATTTCCACTGTCCTGTGACCCAATTCTATGAGATGCCTTTCATCATGTTCAATCGAATCCTTGTTGAAATCCTCTCCAGAATTTCCATCCTACACTAAATGAAAAGGTTTGCTGAGCAAGGAAGAAGATGAAACACTATTTTCTTAAAATAAAAAAACAAATACATATTCAAGTCGAGGGTAAAGGCTCTGTTCTTTGTTCCTGTAAAAAGAATAACAATATGACAAGCCCAGGGCTTGAATTATCTTTCTCAGAAAAGCATATGTGAACACAACAGTAGCTTTCAGAGAATAGAACGTGTCTGTTTATAGGCGTCAAGGACCCGATTCATGCATTTGGAAGAGAAGTTAAAAATTCCACTAAAAATGTTTTCAATAGTTAAGAAATTTCAAAAATGGAACATTGCAAACTACTCTTCTAGCTTAAACTGAATGTTCTTACTCATCGTAACCTACCATCAACATTTAGAACCTTACCTTTTTTCGGTTCTGAGGACCTTTTTCATCTTTTGGAGGTAATGGTTCCAAAACAGCCCTTTCTAGTAGTAGTAGCACATCATCCACTAATACAAACATATCTTTTTCCATGCAAACAATTGGAGCTGGCATTTCTTCAGCATCCAATAATTTTGACTTCGCTTTCTTTATCTTACTCCGTCCTTCAAGAGCCTTCAACCCACTATAGAGTGAATCCATTACCAAAGTAGATGTCACTTCCTTCTCTATAAAAAAGTGCTTCACAACTACTTTCAGAATCATATCTTTTTTCTCCCTGGACATTCTGCGCCTGGAATTTTGGTCTATCCCCAACCAGAAAGCACAAAAGCTGCAACAATTTCAAACAAATAGTTTAGAGAAAAAGGCAGCAAAAGGATAAATGTGATGACCCAACGAGAAACAAAATCATCAAATATAATCCAAAACATGCATAAGAACTCAAAATATTGATAATACGTGATAAAAAATAATTGAGTCCAAATTTAAATCCTATGGGCAAGTCAAGAAGGAATTTGATGCTACAACATAACAACAAAGAAAAATATAGGTAGAAAACCAGGCAAAGATAATAGGTACTACAGAAACCAATTCATAGGAACACATTCAAACATAACATACATTTCAAATAAAAGGCTGTACGCACAAACTGATATTAATTGACCTATGTGAGTAATAAGTCATTAAAGGTACTGAAAAAAATCATTTACCTTGACCACTTAGCTTTGTCCTCTATGAACTTCCCTAGATTGCTTCGTCTGTCATCCAAAAAGCGGTGACAAATTTGCTCTACATTTGTCAAGTATACCCTAACAAGTTCTCTCCTATACTGATGATCAAGGCAACGAAAAGGCTGGTCTACTTTTGCCCTGCAGATTCAAAATGAAATATTTAGTTTGCTCATCAAGAAGGAAAATATTAAAAATTAATAAATAATAATAGATCATATTACACAAATTAACACCACAAATCAACTTGTCTGTAACATACCAAGGCCTTAATTTCAGAATGAGGAAACAACTCCATGCAAGGAACCTTCTTATACTATACTGACTGATTACTAATCCAGCTTCTTCGTCAAAGATATAATACAATGGCAGAGTAAAACAATTATCAACCAAAAGTTTCACCCGAGTCTTATATTTTCTGAAAACTGGGATTGCAAAGAAGTCGTATTGATAAGCATGAAGAATGAAATTCAAAGTCTATATTTAAGTTATTGCTCATAAACAGCAAAAGGAAATTGGAAGGACTTACTTAACTACAAAGGCTATGCAATAAAGAAATGAAGATCAGAATGAAGGACCAGTTGCCTAAGCATTGAATGAAACACCGCATGCAGAAGTTTGTTTATCAAAAAGTTACTGAATACCTGATAACTTGAACTTGAGCTTTTATTATTAGTGTGTCAGATTCTATAAATCCATCATAAACTTTTGAGAGCTCCATAAATTTTTTCCACCCCCAGTCATGCTCTTTCTTCCAGAATCGATGTAAAGTATCTGCAATCCATAGCAAGTTGTTTAGAGATCACAATCTCTGTTAGTCCTACTTAAACAATATTTGAACCAACCAACCTGAATATTTTGATTTCTTTGGATCTTTATTCACAACAGCTATTGTAAACTGTGCAAAATGACTCCAACCTGTCTCAGAATAAAGAGAGACCACAGAATTTCAACAACATAATACAAGAGTATGATAATAAATCCAATAAAAAATTCACTGACATCCAACAATATCAAACCTGGAAGAAGCTTGTCATGATCAGCAACACAGAGAAACAATGAGAGATGATTGCAGACATCACAACCTTGTGGATAAATTAAAATGTACCTATCATTGGCAAACAGTTGAAGTCAAAACTAAGGAATTTGGTTGATAAAAACCCATGTGTTTCTTTTAAACCAACAACATAGACTAAAGTTTAAAATATTTATACCTTTTTTGTTTACAAGCAAATATACTCCACGTATAACTCCAAAATGATATGAAAGAACGGGAATTCCAAAAATGACAAATTATGAACTATGAATTTGACAAAGCAAAGTAGAAACATAACAGCCAATGATATACAAAGCCCATACCACTTGTAGCCGCCAACTTCAAATGCATTACTGCGAAGTTCTCTTTTGTTTATCTGCGAAAAATTTTCAATCTTCCATGTATACTTCCCATATAATTCAGAGGGTTTTGGCCCTATAAATAAGTAAATTCAGCTTAATGAGTTTTTATCATAAAATAGGAAGAATAGAAAAACATATTCAAAACTATTCATACTTAAAATGGCAATATAAAAAATTGTGGTTGAGAAAACCTGTTAACAATTATTCCCTAGTCAGCTTAATTTGAGCAATTTTAGTGCACTCAAATAGTTCACAACAAACACCATCTATTACCATGTTAGCCTATTCACCGCTTGTGTTATAATTATATGGTCTAAGACCATCAATGAGTTAGAATATTAATTTAATAGGTAAACAACAGTAAACAAGTTAAAGCCATCTATGTTAAAATTAATCTCCAGAAAATTTTGGCTCCATTTAACAAGCTTCACTAACCAAATTCATTAACTGTAACTACAATTCTAAGTAATTTATAGACATCAGAGACCCCCCTCAGTAGCATTCCAAAAAGCAAACAGTAACAACAGACCACCTAAAACTGAATGCAAGCCGATTTATTATCACGACACTACATGTTTTTTTATCGCTTGGTGTTTTCGACATTATAATGGAACAATTCAATCTAAAGGTTGAATTGACATTGTAATGCTTGACAATAAACAGACAAGCAAACAGACACATATTTTAAAGAATAAAGAGCATTCAAGTGAACATGAAAGGGATCCAAAAGCATACCACCATCGCCATTGTCAGAGTCCCAGTAAAACAGTGAGGTTGAAGGTGTTCCATTTTCTACCTGCTCAGAAGACCGCCATTCTGCCAACGCCTCCCCTGATAGGCAATTCTGCCTGCTTGAACTCCCCTCAGAATACCTTCCCACTCCACATTCGTCAGTTGCAACCCCAGCCATTTCGCACTTCAAGCTCCTCCTCACACAGCTTCAGCTCCGCTTGGCTATCCAATCAAAAACCCAGATAAGAAACCACTCAAAACAATTTAACCCATAAACCTCCCTTCGAAATGCAGAATAATTAGAAATATCGTTGCCATACAAGTTTCCACCGTTCTCCACAAAATTACCCCTTAAACCAACTGATACAGATAAGATTTGTATGCTATTGATATCAAAGTTCTACAAAAATTCAAACAATTAGCATAAAACCATATAAGCTTTCAAAGATGATCATTAACTTAATTAAACGAATTCAACTAGTACAATCACTGAAAACGGAATAAATACAACCCACCATTGAAATACAGGAAAAAATAAAACTCTCATTAGAAAACATTGATAAAATCAACACTCCAGCTTAACAATTCTTATGATACAATCCATAACACCCAAAGTAAAAGAATATAAAAATAAAACCCAATAACAAGAATCACAAACCCAGTTAAACCCCGGTAGATAATAACGATCACTATATTGAAAACCATAATAAAAATCAAACCCTAAAGATTAACAAAATAGTAACTAATTAAACGAAAATCAATAAGACACCGACTACATAGCATAAATCGAATGGTGAAAACGAAACTGTAAATGGAAGAGTCAACAGAGGGTTTCCACCCTTTCTTTTTTGGTGTTGAATGGGGGGCTTTGGCAGCTCCTTTGAGATTCTAGAGAGAGAAATGAGAAGAAAGGGAAGCAGTAAAAGAGAGAGAAGAAAAGCCAGCAAAATATAAACTTTTTATATTTATAGTAGTAATTTTTTCCCTAAATTGCTATTTGTTCATATTTTTTCTTTGGAATAGTGATAAAATATTTTACAAAATTAAAATAAAATTTACATCAAAGGAACTATTTGAAACACGATACTGTAAAATTTAAGTTCTATACCATATCTATGTGAATTTAATATAATATATTTGAATAATTTTAAATTCTAATATTTAAATTTAATATCAAATTATAGGTATTAAACCATAAAACAGGAAACAAATGATATTAATATAATTTCATTTAAGTAATATGTTTTTTCACCATCGATAACAATCTTATATGATTAACTATTTCATACTTTAATAGTGTAAAATAATTATTCCATAATTACACATTTAATCCTTATTATTTATGTTTTCTATCACTTTAATAATTTAATCCTTCAATCGATGATAACACATGTCCCCCATTGAATTAACTTGGAAAGTCAAATTAGGAATGGCAACGGGTCAGATTTGGGGCCATCCTCGACCCCGACCCGATCCCCGTCGGATTTTTTATTGGGACGCCCCGTCGTGGATTTTTTTTGCCCCATCCCCGAACCCGAAAATATTATATATATAATTAATATAAAAATATAAAATATTATATATATAATTAATATAAAATATATAAAATATTATATATATATATAATCGGGGCGGGGAGGGGATACCTTGCCCCGTCCCTGAACCCGACCCAAAAAAATCCTCGATACCCGACCCAATATCATTCAAACCCGATCCGACCCGAACTTGACCGGATTTCGAGTTTTCCTGTCGGGTTCAGGTAATTCTTCCATCCCTAAGCCAAATGCAGCATAACCATTATTTAAATAGGATTTGGCTTGCGAGTTTATGATAATAAAATTGTCATAATTTACTCAAATTCGCTTAAATTTAACACACGCTTTAAAAGTAATTATGAAAATAAACGTTGAACATATACTTCAATTAAAAATAAATTTAGACCCTTAAAGAAAAAAATGATATAATTTAACACTTATCTTGTATTGAAACCTTAAACTAAATAGAAATTGTTTTGATTTTCTTTCCTTTGAACTTGCAAAGAAACAAAAAGATTAGTAGGGATAGTATAAATCTCCCTTTTTACTTCTCACGGATATTAAAAATCATTTGACTAAGGATAAACTTACATTATAGTCTTTTAATTTTAAAATATTTTAATCTCGCACCTTTAACTTTTTATTTATTCATTTTAATTCTTAAATTTGATAATTTTTTAAGATGGTTAGGTACATTATTTGTAGAACTTGGCAATTGTTCCCATCTTTGTCCCTAAACTTAATTTATGTCTCGTGTTTGTTTTAATCCTTAATGGAATTCAAGTTCAATGGCCAGGTTAAAAAAAGTTATCAAATTCTGGGATTAATATGGACAAAAAAGGAATCAAGGACCAATATAAGAAAAAGTGAAAGTTCGATAACTATGGACCTTAAAATGTTTTGGATGAAGTTGAATAGAACGACAAAAATCAGGGATGAAATGTTGCTTTATCCCTTTCAATAACAACGGTGGGACCACAACGACACCATCTAATGTGATGAATTTATTTCCCTAAAAAGTTTTATATCTTTATATTTGATCTAAATCAAAATTTAAAAAAAAAATACTTCACTTAAAATACAATTTATTTTTTGAGATCAAAAGTTACACTAAAATCGATATAAATATTTATAATTTTATTTTTTATTAGGGAAAGCAAAAAAAATTGAAAAATATATTTAAAAAATATCATTGTAATTTCCTTTAAATATAGAATAAACTATGTATTTAATCACTCTCATATTCTCACGGTTCCATTTTGGTCATCAACTTTTAAATCATACTTAACGTTATGTTTTAGTTCTATTTTGATCACTCTTTGTTAAAAGACTAACATTGACGTTGATGTGTCACCATAAAATAATGTGACATTATCATTAAAAAATAAAAAAAAAATATCATATCACCAGTTTTGTTTATCTTTTATCGACAAATGAACGTAACATTCGATATGATTTTGAATTAAAAAAATTAGTTGAGTGACTAAACGGAATTACAAAAATGAACGAATGACTAAATAAGTAATGTATCATTAAAGATATAAGAGAATATTATACTATTATTTTAGATTGAGTTAAGTTATTTTTTTTTATTTGGTTTAAACTCGAAATTTACCCGAACTCAATTTTCGTTAAAAGAAAACAGATTCAAGTTTATAAAATCATATCAAATCTATCCTTTTTATTGAATGCTTGAAGTTGAAACCTGGGTTTCACTCTCTCTTTTGTCACAAAACAGATGAAAGTAGTTGTAAATTTCACATGCATCCATCCTTTAAATTCATTACGACAATGGCTTTCCTTTTCAATCCTCACAAGAAAACCGCTTAAAACCCTTTCTTCTCCCTCTCTCTTTTTGTCAAGAATCCTCCAAGAAAAAGAAAAACCCAGTCTCAAACTAACAACCAAAACAAGAAGAAAGAACTAACAACAATCATGGCGTATGAACAAGAAAGCCATCATCACCCCAAGGTTCAATTCCCGTTAGACCCGGATTCCTACAAGATCATCGACGAAATCGGCGTCGGTGTCAGCGCCGTAGTTTACAAAGCCGAATGCATTCCCTTGAATTCCACCGTCGTAGCCATCAAAGCCATCGATCTCGATCAGTTTAAGGTCGATTTTGACAAAATCCGACGTGAAACCAAGACCATGTCGTTACTTTCTCACCCCAACATCCTCAACGCTCATTGTTCCTTCACCGTCGGCCGCCGTCTCTGGGTGGTGATGCCCTTTATGTCCGGCGGTTCGCTACAGTCGATTATATCGTCTTGTTTTCCCGACGGCTTATCCGAGCAATGCATCGCCGTTGTCCTCAAAGAAACCCTCAATGCATTATCGTATCTTCACAACCAAGGTCATTTACATAGAGATATCAAAGCTGGCAACATCTTGATGGACTCGAACGGGTGCGTTAAGCTCGCAGATTTTGGGGTTTCAGCTTCTATTTATGAGTCGAATTCGGGTTACGGATCCGGTTCTTCGACGTCATCATCGTCGATGATGCTCAGCGACATGACTGGAACCCCGTATTGGATGGCCCCGGAGGTGATTCACTCGCATACAGGGTATAGTTACAAGGCCGATATATGGTCTTTCGGTATAACCGCGCTTGAATTAGCCCATGGGAGGCCACCTCTGTCCCATTTACCTCCTTGGAAATCCTTGATCATGAAGATCACCAAGCGTTTTCGGTTTTCGGATTATGAAAACAGCAGCGACAAGCACAAGAAAATCTCAAAAGCATTCAAGGACATGGTCGCCGCTTGTCTCGATCAAGATCCGTCGAAGCGACCTTCGACGGATAAGCTTCTGAGACACCCTTTCTTCAAGAGTTGTAAAGGGAACGAGTTTCTCGTGAAGCATGTGTTGCATGGATTGCCTAGCGTTGAAGAAAGGTTTAGGGTTAGCAAGATTCATAACAAGGCTAACATTGATGATGACATTGAAGAAGAATCAGGGTCTGAGCTTGTTAAACACAGGAGGATTAGTGGGTGGAATTTCAACGAAGACGTGTTCCAGCTTGACCCGGTGTTCCCGGGCGAGTCGTCGGTCGATGACTCTGTCGTGAAACAGGTTCGTTTTGGCGGTGAAACCATTATTTCGGAAAGGGTAGTATCCGAGTCGAGTAGCTTGAATTTGAACTCACCGGAGGGGCAATCGAGCTTGGTTAGTACACCGCCAAGCGAAGAACAACAACAATCCGATAACACCGTCAATGCGGAAACGATGGTGGGGGGACTAATGACATTGAAGAAGAGCTTGGATGATCAAAGGCAAAAGGTGACTGATTTGATCAACTTGTTTGGGGGTGAAGTGATCAACAAAGAAGATCAAACTATGCAATTGATCGAGAAACTGAGGCTGGAACTGGAAGCTGAAAGGCAAAAGAACTTTGAATTGGAGATGGAACTGGAGTTCCTCAAGTTTCAGGTTTCTGGTGCATCAAACACAGATGACAATGATTGAACAACTTTGGACAAATTAGTACATTTGCTCTAAAATTTTCAATCTAGTTTTAGTGTTGTTGTTTTTCTTGATTACTTGGAACCTGTTCTTTGTCTGGTTTTAGTGTATCGCATATCATGTATGAAGTTGGAATTGAGAGATTGTGGGATGTTTTAGTTACTTTCTTTATGCATAATTCTTTGTTGCGTGATACAAATTAACCTTTTAATAATTTTTATCAACTAAATAAGATATACGACTACGGATTGAAATAGTGAATTCTAAATTAACCTATCTATATATATTATTTTCGACCATCTTTTAATCGAACAATGTCATGTAATCACAAGAATATCAAATATATGAGTTCTTTATCTCTTTTAAGGAATATTTTAGTTTTATTCTATCTTCTCCGCATTCTCTCCTCGATTCAAATGATGAATTCAAAACCCAAATCTTAATTTTATCACTAACAATATAATCATTAATTCTTCATCTAAATCATAAAAGAAGAATCGCTATACAACTGCAAATATCCCTTTATATATATTACACATCAAGTTTCCCTTTTGTTTAAAGTTGTTGAAACCAGACCGAACCAACTTAATCATCCAAAAACTAAAAACAGGGGTAAAAAAAAACACCTGAATAGGGTACTCTATATACTTTGGGCCATTTCCCTTTCTAAAACTTTGGCCCATACCTATTGAATTATCAGCATTATCCAATTTAGTCCATCCACTAAACCTTACCGTGAAAACTGCAAAATGATCGTACTATTCCCCCATGGGAAATTGGAATCTGCCATCAAACAAGAGGTATGAAGAACGAATAGCAAGGGACCGTGATTCAGATTACAAAAGAAAAACACATTCAATCTCCATTCTGAATTCTCCCATCTGTCAGTCTTTCTCACTCCATAATCTCAATGTGTTCAACACTCATCTTTCCTGATTCTACTTTTCATCTGCTTTTTTAACCACAAACAAAAGTTGACGACACACAGGGCCGGCCCAATACACGTGCCAGATGGGCGACGGCCCAGGGCAGCATGTAGGGGGATGGGCATCAGTTTTATGCTGGTGGCGCATTAGAAGTTGGTCATCTTGGAATTTCTGGTGCAGTAAACACAGGTTTGTTTGTTAAAATACTTTCAGTTATCACTACTACTTTTGATCTTATGTTCTAAAATGTTACTTTTTCTTGTTGAAGTTTTATACGATATTTCAGTTGTTTTGTTATTTGACATTTCGGAATGCATTAATGCTTGTAACCTGATCTTGCAAACCTTGCCTTATTAGTTATTTCTACTTCCATGAGACATATATATTTTGATATACAAATTTCAGATATGAATTGGACCGGGTACTCTATAGAAAAATAATCAGCTAGTTTTATATGAGAACCAGTTTATGCACCCCAACCCCAAAGCATTAAACCCCCTACATGTAACACCCCCAACCCGTATCCGATCCGGATACGAGTCCGAAGTGTCTCATTGACTTTTCAAACATTTATTCGTATAAAATAGTGAGTAATTTAAAAACTTTGATAACATTTAACTTATTCAAAACCTTTACAAAATATATATCAGAGTTCATACAATTTATGTCTTTAGACTACATGCCAACTACACTCTATATACAGTACATATATTTTCTGATCTGACATTTGGTAAGGAAAACTGACCTGTCTTGCTCCGCATTACTTTTTACTCTTCTCGAAACCTACGTGTGAAACAATCACACGCTAAGTCGAAGACTTAGTGAGGCATAACGACTTATAATGCACTTCATAACATATATCAATACATGCATGTTCTGTTCTATCATGTTATACCAATTCCATGCATTCTTCGTATCATATAAAATCATATCAGATTAATTACAGTAAATACATACATACACATAATCATCATTAACAGTTTCATGTAATCACATACTTTTATTGTTAACCTTTCAATCAAACACTGTACACACACAACATCATATGGTTCACGTAACACATTTCAAACCACTTATAAACCCATCGTATACATATCACATTCAGTATTCTTGTTTAATCACTTTATTAGCCCATGTACACTAGTGAGAACTTAAGGTATGTGAGTACATTGAGGTTGTGCACACATATGCTGTCACCACAGCTCGATCAATGTCCCGAAGGACAGTCCATAGATTCCGAAGAACCTAGGTAATCAGTCCATATGTCCCGAAGGACATAGGTAAACAGTCCATATGTCCCGAAGAACATAGGTAAACAGTCCATATGTCCCGAAGAACATAGGTAAACCCTCGACCCTTGGCATGCCAACTATACCCTAGCTCTCATATCATATAACATGGGCATTATCATTTATAACAGTTCACATTACTTATTCATATGCTTTCTCTTATAAACACATATCTTTTCTTTTCAGCCACGTATCACATGTACGTGTAATCATTGATCTCATAATCACATGTTCCTTCTTTTCTGTCACATACCACATGTATGTGTAAACATATATCTAATATCATATGTTGCATGTAATCACATAGATCTTATCTCATAACATATACTTGTTTTCACATATATTTCATATCATTTCTTATACCATCACATAATCCATTTAACATACATAACATATCATGTAACATATAATAGAAATACCTATAAGTCATATCACTTAGAGCACATAAAAGAACAGATCAATTCATATAATCAAGCATACATACATGCATATTCAACTCATGCCTTTAATCATGAATTCATGTGTAACACTTCAGGAAATAGACTCATCGCAAGTCTTATTTCCATCGCACATCATATACTATTGAATATGCACTCACCTGGCCTCACTAGTCAATTCCAATCTCTTATCTTTCCCCTTGATCGATCTTACTTGTCAATGATTCCGGAACTTGGTTAGGCTCTGAATCTTTGCCTTGCTCTCCCACGTATGAAGAAGAAGAAAGGAGAAGAGAACTCTGGATGTTTATCCAAATTCCCACGTTTATATTACCTTAAAAAGAAATATAAAAATCTTTCTGGTCAAATGACCATTTAACCCTTAATTTCCTTTAATAATTACTAAATAACCTTCAATATATATTCAAATAATCATTGAACTATTTCATTCTTCTACTTTAGACATCAAATTCTGAAACTTTACAATTTGATCACTAACCCGGTATTGAGGATGTTACAAATCTCCCCTCCTTATAAGAAAATTCGTCCTCGAATTTTCACTGCACATCTTAATAGGAACATATCTTCTAATGTTCTTATGTTGCTTCCCTGACTTATTCTTTCTTGTCATCATCAGAAACTTACTTTTTAATCCTTTAGTTTTCCGACTATCTTTTTCGTTTATACCTTCATCTTCTGTTGTTTATCATAAACAATAACCAGTAATACCAATCCATTGTTGTGTTTTCTCTCATTCGATTATGCATTTTTCCTTTGACCTTTCTAAAATTCCATATAATGTCACTCATCACGTTGACAGTAACATTCATCTCATCACTCTATATCAAAATTGTCCTCTGTACTTCCATATTTATCGTATCTAATTCTTTTAAATCAATCCCTTTCATTTCTTTACTCCTTATTCCTTATACATAAATCACATATTTACTTTCATATTCACATACTCTTGTCTTATCACTTATACTCATCTTTATGTACCAATCTTCATTGCATCCTCATTACTCTGATAACCCATTTCTTATACATAACTTCATTCTTTATCATTTCTTATACTTGTATTTTCCTTCTTGAAGGTTCCATGCAAATACTTATCTCTGTTTCTACATCATATCTATCTGCTCAGAATATACAACTATATTCAAATTCACATCATAATCAATTAACTCCACTATATCTTTCCTCCAATCTTATAACTCTTGCACCTTTACTCTGACAGCTAGATAATAACTTTTGTTCAGTCTAGGGCACAAGCCCTCTTATACCAATCATATACATTCTTTCCAATCTAAATTATCTCAATATTCGCTTACTCAACTTATCAATTTCACCTCTATTCTCATACATCCTGAAATTTCTTTTACTCAAACTCAACATTCTGACTTCCTGTGTCCTATAATCTGATCATCGATATACATATTCTCAAACTCTTATCAATCCTCAGCTTTACTTAAATATACAAATTCTTACTTCCTTTTCCTTTACTATACCACATTACTATGATCCAAATATGCAACTGTATCCAGATCCATTGCGGATTTGGTTATCATATCCTGACAATATCTTAAAATCTTATAATTCCAGTACATTTTTATCACATACTCTAGTTAGCCAATGCTAACTCTTTCCATCTTAACTGCAAACCCTTATCATAAACATAATCTTGTTCATGCGCAATACTATCACTTCGTTTCAAACTCATAAGCTCTGACTTTATACATCTTATACACTTGTCACTGATGCACTTATCCTTGAGTTCTTCTATACGTACTCATCACGTCATTAGATCTTTTTAACATTCTTATGGTGACACCTATTCACCATATTCTATCTTATCCACATAATAACAAAACTACTCTATATCGTGTTTCCGATTCCAAACGATGAAAACTTTCTATCATTATTCAGATATGATTTCAGCTTTCTGAAATCAACTTTTGATCTTACTAGGCATTTCCTGAGGTATCCGCTCTTCATCCTGCCTGGCCAGGGTAGGTGAATAGCTATCACAATCAGGAATATCACCTTTCACTTACTTCGAAATTATCACGATCGGATTTTCTACTGTATTAAACTATTCTTATTCTATTAGCAAGACAACATATTCCTTACACTATCAGATCAGAAATTTTTCAATCTATGTTGGCATGTACACCTTTTATGACACTTTAGACTTCGGTTTATGCCGAGAATCGGCTAAACCTTAGCTCTGATACCATTAAATGTAACACCCCCAACCTGTATCCGATCCGGATACGAGTCCGAAGTGTCACATTGACTTTTCAAACATTTATTCGTATAAAATAGTGAGTAATTTAAAAACTTTGATAACATTTAACTTATTCAAAACGTTTACAAAATATATCAGAGTTCATACAATTTATGTCTTTAGACTACATGCCAACTACTCTATATACAGTACATATATTTCTGATCTGACATTTGGTAAGGAAAACTGACCTGTCTTGCTCCGCATTACTCTTTACTCTTCTCGAAACCTACGTGTGAAACAATCACACGCTAAGTCGAAGACTTAGTGAGGCATAACGACTTATAATGCACTTCATAACATATATCAATACATGCATATTCTGTTCTATCATGTTATACCAATTCCATGCATTCTTCGTATCATATAAAATCATATCAGATTAATTACAGTAAATACATATATACACATAATTCATCATTAACAGTTTATCATGTAATCACATACTTTTATTGTTAACCTTTTTAATCAAACACTGTACACACACAACATCATATGGTTCACGTAACACATTTCAAACCACTTATAAACCCATCGTATACATATCACATTCAGTATGCTTGTTTAATCACTTTATTAGCCCATGTACACTAGTGAGAACTTAAGGTATGTGAGTACATTGAGGTTGTACACACATATGCTGTCACCACAGCTCGATCAATGTCCCGAAGGACCAGTCCATAGATTCCGAAGAACCTAGGTAATCAGTCCATATGTCCCGAAGGACATAGGTAAACAGTCCATATGTCCCGAAGAACATAGGTAAACAGTCCATATGTCCCGAAGAACATAGGTAAACCCTCGACCCTTGGCATGCCAACTATACCCCTAGCTCTCATATCATATAACATGGGCATTATCATTTATAACAGTTCACATTACTTATTCATATGCTTTCTCTTATAAACACATATCTTTTCTTTTCAGTCACGTATCACATGTTCGTGTAATCATTGATCTCATAATCACATGTTCCTTCTTTTCTGTCACATACCACATGTATGTGTAAACATATATCTAATATCATATGTTGCATGTAATCACATAGATCTTATCTCATAACATATACTTGTTTTCACATATATATTTCATATCATTTCTTATACCATCACATAATCCATTTAACATACATAACATATCATGTAACATTATAATAGAAATACCTATAAGTCATATCACTTAGAGCACATAAAAGAATAGATCAATTCATATAATCAAGCATACATACATACATGCATATTCAACTCATGCCTTTAATCATGAATTCATGTGTAACACTTCAGGAAATAGACTCATCGCAAGTCTTATTTCCATCGCACATCATATACTATTGAATATGCACTCACCTGGCCTCACTAGTCAATTTCAATCTCTTATCTTTCCCCTTGATCGATCTTACTTGTCAATGATTCCGGAACTTGGTTAGGCTCTGAATCTTTGCCTTGCTCTCCCACGTATGAAGAAGAAGAAAGGAGAAGAGAACTCTGGATGTTTCTCCAAATTCCCACGTTTATATTACCTTAAAAAGAAATATAAAAATCTTTCTGGTCAAATGACCATTTAACCCTTAATTTCCTTTAATAATTACTAAATAACCTTCAATATATATTCAAATAATCATTGAACTATTTCATTCTTCTACTTTAGTCATCAAATTCTGAAACTTTACAATTTGATCACTAACCCGGTATTGAGGATGTTACACTACAACTTTAGTGAAACCTGTGGAATAACACTTAAAACGAAACGACATGACCAAACATTTCTTGTCATATAAGAAACATGAATTTAACTTTTTCTCAATTTGCAGCTGACTTGATTTCCTCACAAGTTAAAAGAAAACAGATTAAACGTTTTGCATCTGATGTGTTAAATGCTATCTTTCTGCAATAATTCCCTTTGGCACCATTTTCTTCTGGTTCCAAGTTGATTAAGTTCTTTAATGTTATTCAATGATTAGCCCATCTGAGGATTCTACAGGGATTGCTTCATTTGAGATGGGATACGAACGTTGGATGGAAGAACAAAATAAACTAATTTGTGAATTCAGGAGTGATTTGAACGCCCAGATAAGTGATATAGAGCTTAAAATGCTTCACCTAGTATTAATTCGTTGCCTCTTAAAATGCTTCCGATCTGAAAAACACAATATTGTCAAAAGTTGCCATGCAATGTTACATTCGTAGTTAATAAAACTTCACCTAGTATTTTTACAAAGTCTTGAATATTGATTATCGTAAAATAATAGAGGTTTTTGCTTCAAAAAATGCATGAAGGTATTGTTTTAGCTGATATTTGTAGCCTTGTAGATTTTGGTTTGTATTAATATTAATATTGTTCGACTATAATTTCTATTATATTTTTGTTTTAAAAAAATTATTTATGTTTGTCTATTATACGGTACAAGTATAGAGGCATACAATTATTATCTCGCACATGACTTATTGGACCGGCCCTGACGACACACATCTACATCTTTATTCTTATAATATATAATATTTCAGATTTTAGTTCGTGTGTCTGTTGTTGGTAATACTCGGGAGTAAAAAATATGTAATTTCATATTGGAATGAGAAGCGTTTCTAGATGAAAATTTTCCCTTTCCTTATTCGATGTAAAGTGATAAAGCCCTTGCACGTGAGCAGTGTCATCCTTATCGACAATTAGGGATGGCAAACGGGTACAGTTTTACGGATTTCGCACCGCATCCGCTCCAATTGGAGCGGGGATGGGTATAATTTTAACGGGTAATGGGCAAGTGTGGATTTATAAAGTGGTACCCGTCGTGGGTGGTGGGCGGGTAATGGGTTTGAGACATTACCCGCCCCGCATCCGCCCGCCCCACATCCGCCCACCTAGTTAAATATCTATTAAATTTTGGACCATTGAATTTAGGTGTAATTTTAGAGACTAATTTATAAATTTTAATGTGTATAATATAACATATAATTTAACCAAATATTAAGGATATTTAGTCTTTAATTTGGTCTTTAATTAGGGAAATATTCGGCTCTTTGATTAAACCCATAATCCTACTAACCACGTCACTTTCCATGTTCTTTAGCCCATGCTATCCATCCAAACATAAATTAGCCGTACTATATGCATTAACATCAAAAGCAACAGTTTCCATGTTCTTAGCCCCTCAAAACCCATATTAGGCACACTATGAGCATTAACATCGAAAGAAACTCAACAATCCAGCTCTGCGACTACATGCTCCCTACAATCTATCTCCATAACATTCGTAGAGTCACTCCTCTGACAAATTGAAGCATGCGTTGCTACCCCATCACGAACTGTCTGGGAACCAACTCCAACATCCCATTAGTTTGCTGTCAGGCGGGTCTAGATGGGTATGTCGCTAGTGGGTAGTGGGTGTGGGGATGGATTTGAAAATGTACCTGCGTGGGCGGGTGTGGATTTGAAAATTTGTACCCATCATGGGTGGTGGGCGGGTGGTGAATTGAAAAATATTAGGTGGGTATGGGGATGGGGAAGGGGGTATCCGCACCCGACCCACCCGTTTGCCATCCCTATCGACAATCAATCATATTCATATAAAGTGTTCTCTACCTATCCATTTAAGAAACTAAAATAAAGAGTGATCCCTTTGAAGCCGAGACACTAGCGTGGTTGTGATAGACTAGAACCCTAAAACTTAGTTAAACTGCAACAACATGTGCAAAGGGAAAGGGACGGTAAGCTGTTCACATACACTGTGGGTAAACACTGCAATTTGGGGTACAGAACCTAATAAAATGTACAACCATATTTAGAAAGGCAAAGGGATCAGCTGATTGGCTGCCAGTTCTTCAATAAATCTTCAGCTAAATGAGGCAGAATCTTTTGTTCAAACCGGTTTCTCTGTTGAAACTCCATCTCTTCCATCTCAAGAAATAAGGAAAAGGGAAAGGATGGGTGCACGGAGATTACCCTCCCTTTGAGATAAATCAAAGCTTTTCTGAATGACATGAAATGTGCACCCATTACTTCCGTTTTCAGCATGCAAAGCAAAGGTGGAGCAAAAGTTGAATTACTAATATTCTCCTTTTTATAGGCTTGAATATTCTATCTATCGAATGGAGTTGAGTCTAAAAATTTCAAGTTAGTCAGAGTTGCTTGTACTATTTTAGGATTTAAATTTTATTTAAAAAAATAGAGTCGAGTCAATTTTTTGAATTTATGTTTAAATTTAATTATAAATATTAATAATGTTATAGTTTGAATTAATCCAAATTATAATATTATTTGATAAATAAAATGTGATCTAGAATTATAAAATATATTTATAATTTTATTTTTTTTAAAAATTATTTTGAGGGAAAAGTATTGATGGGAGTGTAAAAGAGTGAATGAATTGATAATAAGAAATTTGCAACAACAAAAAAGTACAATAAAAAATCAAATTGAAAAAAAGTAAAGTTGAGGGACAAAATTATAAAAAATAATTATTAAAAATAGAAATTGAAGTTACATATTTTATCGTCCTGAAGGAGCGATTCAAATTTAATCAAAAATAAAGTTAAAATAACACATATTTAAACTTATCATTAAATTTTCATTTTTAAAATTTTTTAAGTCAAATCAAATGTATTAAGTTCGAGTTTGAATGAATGGTTTTTTTAATCTATTCTAGTTTTGCTCCGCTACCTATTTATGCTAATGATTTCGTGTCTTTCCTAGTTCCTACATATAGTAATAGTTCATGGCCTGTTTTCTCGTTACTTTAATCACCTTCTTCTCCGAGGTCGAGAAACCAAACTCCATTTCGTTGCCATATAATCTCAGCTATTAGCTTAGACTTTCATATTAGCTTAGACTTTCTTTTTTCCTTTCGATCTTCACTCGGTTATCAATGGAGAAGAGTTTTAGTAAAAGTTTGAGAGACCACCAAAGTGTCACCAATAAAGCCATCAATGGCGACAAGCTCAAGGATTCTTCATGGAACTGTAATAAGAATCTATGTGGGTTTCCATGGCAGCCGAGATCTTACACTTGTAGTTTCTGCAAGAGGGAATTTAGGTCGGCTCAAGCTTTGGGTGGCCACATGAATGTTCATAGGAGAGAAAGAGCTAGGTTATTGAGATACTCACCTCCTTCTTTTCTCAACGTTAACTCTAACCCTAACCCTAATTTCTCATATTCTTCTCCATCTTCACCATCTTATGGTTTCCCTTGTGAAATGAAGAAATGGGGTGGCGACGGTAGCTTCACCGGTCCTCTGAGTTCGAGGGGCTCGGATTCGACATACATGAAGGGTGCAAAATCATGTTTTGGAGTCAAACAATCCAACGATGATGGTTGCAGTGATAAGTTGACGAAGAATTCAAAGTTGAAGATGAAGATGATGAATGAGATTGTAATTAGTGATTCCGATGAAGATTTGGATTTGGAACTTCGATTGGGATGCTCTTAAATACATGTAAGAACATTATGTTTTAGGTATAATGCTTCAAAAATTAAATGTTTATCAATAGTATCAATCAAATTAATAATTATTAAATGTCGTCTAACAATAATCTTTGAATTAATGTTATGATGATATTTTATGATCTAATTTGGAAATAATGAGGATATAGTTTTTGAATTTATAAAAAATAAAAAAAATAATATATACTCATATATTCCAATACATATATTATTATACATTTTATTTTATCCAAAAAAATACATATATTAAATGACCCAACGAATGCGTTTGATGTAATTAGGTTATTAGAGATATGGACCGTCAAATTCAACATTAACAAATGTTGACCCAATTTGACTTTGACTTCATCTAATGCAAAATAATAATAATAATAATAAAAATAATAAATAAATAAGAAAGAGTTCTATGATTAATTATCAGTTGATTTAGAGAAATATAATGTTGTTTTGAATAAGATTAACAGTTTGAATTTTAATATTGCAAATAAAATAAATTGAATTAAGAGGATTTATATTAAACCTTTATAGTACTTAATTTTTACTAATGAACGAATAGATTAGATATAAGTAATTATAAAAATTTAGAAAAACAAAGATTTTATTTAATAAATATTTAAATTAAAAAAATATAAAATGTCATTTATATCCCCACCCCGTAATAGTTTCGCTTCTGCCAAAAACTAATTCAAATGACGTTAAATGTTATTAATATACATAGATCTATAACTAATGCATGTAATTTTATTGTTTTAAAGGGAGAATGCAATTGAATTTTAGTCACTTATGTCGTCGATTGTTGCCTTTTTATATTGAACCGTTCATTTATGTCAGTTCGATAACTTATGACTTAATAAAACGAACTAATTTTTAATTTAACCTTTGAACTTCAGATTAAATTAAATATATCCATTCAACATTGAACATGGACATAAACAATGTTAAACAAGGAAATCACATTTTTAGGACCATAAATCATGATATGTGAAGCTCTAATCAAAATAAGGCACCAAAAAGCAAAAGAAATTTATTGCAAGACAAGAACGCCTCCCCAGCAATTGACTTTCCCTAAAGAAGAGCCTTTAATCAAAGATTTCCGTGGACAATATCTGGTCTTCACACCCCCAATTTCAATTTGTTGTAAGAGGAAAGTCATTTTAAGTCTTTTTGTTCATTGTATTTGCCAAATTTGCATCATTATAGCACTGTGCATGAAATAATCTTGCAATAAAATAATAGGGATAAAGAAGATGAGGGATTTCTATGTTCAATTTATAAACGGACGAACTGATAATTACAATATGTTTCAGCCTAGATCGGAATAACTTTCAATATGATTTATATACAATAGGACTTAAACTAAAAACATTTGGATTGAGAGCTCACACATGACAATTATGTATGGTTGTGACTCAAATCTGCACGTTAAAGAATTCAAGACCTTAGCCTTACTAACACACAAGTTTGAGGATGTTATTGAAACATTTAAAAGTTAGGGAACTAATACGCAGGGACGGACCCAGGATTCCAACTTAAGGAGGGGGTAAAGTATAATTAATTATAAAAATGAGGGGCAAAGTATAATTAACCATAGAAATGAGGGACACAATCAAAATAAACTAAAATTTGGAGACCTAATTTAATATTTACTCATATTTTTTAATAACAAAAAATTAAGGGTAGTGGGCCTGCTTCGTCCCTCCTAATATCGAACAAAGATTGTTGTTTAAGGATGAATTTGAAACATTCAAAAGTTTGAGACACAATTTAAAACGAGTCATAGTTTAGAGATGTGATCAAAATGTTTAAAAATTTTATAGACTAATTTATAATGTAAGTTCTAATTTGGATATACGTGATGCAATCAACTCTTTTTCTCATATTAGTACTTAAATTTGTTTTCGATTTATATTGATGTATGAATTTATCAATTTTTTTATATTAATTTTTTGACGATATTAAAAGTAATGATGTGATATTCTTAAATTATATCACGTGATCATGAAAAATAAAGATATTAATAATTATAAAAAGTTTGTAAAAAATATAAAAGTATATACTAATTTTAAAATAGAATTTTGTAAGAAAAATATAAAAGATTATACATTTATTACATTACACGAAGATATCGGTAAAAAAAATAGATAAATTTAAATACTAACATGGATAAAAAAATTAAGAACCAATGTGTATAAAATAAACAAATTCAAGGACTAAACAAGGGATTAGGTATTTCAAGCATGGGTGTAATGAAAACGAGACGCAGGCTATCCTCAAAACAAACGTTCAATTGAATTAAAAAAATTAAAATTAAAGTTAAAATAAAATACATTTCCATTTACATGGGAAGTTCTACAGTGTCGTAAGTTTAAAAATTATTAAAATAAAATGTTACCGGTTTTGTTATCGTTTAAATAATAAACTCGATAAAAATTACCTAAATTTTTTTGATAATTACCTAAAATATTAAATTAATCCGGTCATTTCTTAAGCCTAATAATATTTTCGATATTTTTTTTTAAATTTTTGTAAAAAAACATCCAATAATAACAAAACGGATAGCGCGTAATAATATTTCTGATAATTTTTATCAATTTTATTATTTAACACAATAACAAAACCGATAACAATTTATTTTAACTATTATTTTAGTATGCCGCACCGGAGGTATCCCCATTTTACATACAAGAAAGACTGCAGAGATTAGATTGGTTTCCAGCAAAACGACAAAAAATAAATTAAATTTAAAAACAAACATATTAATTAAAACAAATCTTTTTTGGTAGGAGAAGGACGTTTTGGTTCAAAATGGCGTCTAAGTTCTCTTCATGTACGAAAGTGGGTCCCTCTTCTTCTGCTTCTTCTCCTTCCTCCTCACTCTCTCTCTTCCATGGAACCAAGGAGCTGCTTGTTTGAGGGAGGAAAAAAAACCCTCTGAAAGAGGACCCAAACCTAAACCAGAGACACACACAACTCTAAAACAGTGTTCTTTAGCGTGTCTTCGGTGTTGTTGTTTGCGCGGTTCAAAAGAAAACGAAAAGCTTTCGAATTTATATACACATTTAAAGTGATCGAATTCGGAACGTTAAACAAAGACTTAAGCTTTGGAGAGTTATCGAAATATGTGGCTTTTGGCTTTGCATGTCATAGAAAATCAAAAGATCCGAAAGGTGGTTTCTTTTTACTGCCCTTCTTCTGGTTTCTGAGTTTTCTTTTTTGTTTCTGATTTTCAGCCTGCATTTCTGGGGTTTATCGGACGAAATGGGTTGTTTTTTGTTTGGTTCCTGGTTTTTTTTCTCCTGCGTGGGGGCTGCTCTGATCATTAAATGACTTTTTGTTATAAATTCCATATTTTTCTGCGTTTTTCCATTGCAGGCAATGAGTATTGAGGTTTGGAATTACAATGTCATTGCTGCAGAGAGCTGTAAAGTGTTCCCTAATAGCTTGATGTCTGTATGAATAAATGGATTAAACGAAAGGGTAGAAACAGTTCATCTGGATGCAATGTTAAAGGCATTAGCTCCCGGGTTGTTGATTTCTTCGCTTCTGTTATCGGCATCCGCCACCGCCGGCTTTCCTCGATGTAATTGCGATGACTAGGGGAGTTTATGGAGCACCGATGGCATCTTAGAGACTCAAAGAGTGAGTGATTTCTTGATCGCCGTGGCGTATTTCTCGATCCCTGTCGAGCTGCTTTACTTTGTTAGCTGCTCGAAAGTGCCGTTCAAATGGGTCCTCTTTCAGTTCATTGCCTTCATCGTGCTCTGCGGATTGACCCATCTGCTCAATGGCTGGACCTATGGTCCCCATCCGTTTCAACTAATGTTGGCTCTCACCGTGTTCAAGATTCTCACGGCGTTGGTCTCGTGCGCCACCGCCATTACGCTCATCACGCTCATTCCCTTGCTTCTCAAGGTCAATGTGAGGGAGCTTATGCTACGGAAAAAGGCTCGGGACCTCGGCCGAGAAGTCGGTATGATAATGAAACAGAAGGAGATGAATCTGACTCATGAACTCAAAGCTAGAGACCATTCATATAACTTTACCATTCCGATTTTGGATCCGGATGTTTCGAGGATTAAACAAAGTGATGGAGTGAACATCCTTGATATTGAGTCAGCTCTGGCCACTGCAAGCAATGGAGAATCTAGTGAGCCAGGACCAGTGGCTGCAATTCGGATGCCAATGCTTCAAGTATCCAATTTTAAAGGGGGAACACCTGAGGTAGTGCAGACATGCTATGCGATATTGGTTTGTGTTCTTCCGAGCAAACAAAATAGGTCGTGGACCAACCAGGAACTAGAGATGGTTAAAGTAGTTGCTGATCAGGTAGCTGTTGCGCTCTCTCATGCTGCCGTTCTCGAAGAGAGTCTCAGCTCATGAAAGATCAATTGGTGGAGCAAAATTGAGCATTGCAATTGGAACGACAGAATGCTATGAGGGCAAGCCAAGTTAGGAATGCCTTTCAGAAGGTGATGAGTGATGGAATGAGGAGGCCAATGCACTCGATTTTAGGCTTGCTTTCGATGATGCAGGATGGAAATCTGAATAACGATCAACGTATTATCGTCGATTCAATGATGAAGACCAGTAATGTGCTATCGACATTGATAAACGATGTGATGGATATTTCAACGATGGATAGTGGAAGGTCCCCATTGGTGAAGAGATCTTTTTGATTACATTCCATGATAAAGGAAGCCGCTTGTCTTGCCAAGTGCTTGGCTGTTTATAGGGGTTTCGGCTTTTCAATTGAGGTTGATAAATCCCTGCCCGATCTCGTTTATGGTGATGATAGGAGAGTTTTTCAGGTGATACTGAATATGGTCGGGAGCCTATTGGATGGCAACAGCGAAGGCGGAACCGTAGTACTTCGGGTGTTCTTGGAGAATGGTAGTCAGGAACGGAATGACCAGAGACGGGCTGCATGGAGGCACAGCTCTCTGGATGGAGATGTACATATCAGGTTTGAAATTAGGATCGAAAATA